TGTTGATCCACAGAGCAGGGACACTGCATGGACAGCATTTAGGGCAAACCGTTCCCACGCTGCTACAGCCAGTGTGCCACATGCCAGAACCCTGTGAAAGAGGGGGGATTTAACCCGACCGATCCGCCCCCTCACTGTGCTGCAGGGAGGAGCTTTGGTGTGTTTTGAGGCCAAAGATTAAAGGGAAATGGTGTGGTAACCTAGGATGTGGAAGAAATGTCTGTCTGTCTGTGAATCTGTAGCTATCTAATCTATGGGCCATATCCTCAGCTCCCAAACTGCATTAGCGCCATTGCCGCTTTATACCAGCTGACTATCTGCCCCGAAATCTGCCTGTCTATGGATTGATCAGCTGTGGAGCCTGGATTTATCAATAGACAGACAGATATTTTCTATTTCTTTTCGTCCAAGTAAAACATAAACAGCCCCCTATCATGTTTATAACCCACAATTTGCAGCACGGTGTTCAGCACATGGGCATTGGAAAGCAGGATTGAGTAGGAATTGACTACTGAACCGCCTGGTCTGTTTTTGACCTCCGCGTTGAATGCAGCAATTATATAAACAAACAGGCTAAACGATGGGCAGTAAATTCAGTGCTTTAAAAACAATTTTGCTTTCAGTTTCCTGAAGTGTTTTTAACTAGATTAAATGAATGTCTTTATTTTAAATGCAGTAAAACCTCAGAGTTACAAACACCTCGGGAATGGAGGTTATTCATAACTGTGAAATGTTCGTAACTCTGAACGAAGCGTTCTGGTTGTTCTTTCAAAAGTTTACAACTGAACATTGACTTAATACAGCTTTGAAACTTTACTGTGCAGAATAAAAATGCTGCTTTCCCTTTATTTTTTAGTAGTTTACATTTAACAGAGTACTGCACTGTATTTGCTTCTTCTTTTTTGTGTCTCTGCTACTGCCTGATTGCATGCTTCCGGTTCCAAATGAGTTGTGTGGTTGACTGGTCAGTTCATCTCTCTGGTGTTTGTAACTCTGAGGTTCTATTGTACAAGGCCAGATTCGGTCTGTATGTCTATCTTTATTTTGCCCCATCACTGTAGAATCTGAGCAGTGAGATTTTGCCTTGGGAAGAACCTAGTAGAAACTGAGTTAAGGACCTTATGATTTGGCCTCCATAATATATTTATTGTGCATGTGTATTGTAGGATCACAAATAAATAATATAAACTGCCTTCACTTTTAAAGGCTGGCCTGCTTGAATTGCTGGAACATAATAGCTAAGCCTGTGTGCACCATAGCCCTCTGCTGGCTAGAGTCTGTTCGCTTATAACTTTTCTATGCCTTGGGCAATACTGTCCAACTGTTGTCCTCTAAAGCGGACATTGACTATAGGACCTGACTTCTGACACACCTAGGATCATTGGTGTTTTTTAAATGGTGGAGAGTTTTCCCCCTTCTAGTTATTACATGTGGGAAATGCAAATCACCAAAACACACACAAACGTACTCCTGTGTTTTCATAAGAGCTGACTTGGAGTTTGTGAACATTTTGAAGAAAAATGTTTTGAGCAAAATTTTGAGAAAATGTTCGGGGATTTTGACAAAAAAATTGGGAGGAAAATTCACGAAACGTGTTTCTTTTTTCAGACAAGCAAAAATTTCAAACATTTTGAGATTTTGTCCAAAAAAGGGGAGGAGGGGGGAAGTTCTAAAAAAACATGCCCCACTCCTTATTTTTGGACTATCTCTTATTTCTACCCATAAAGTCACTTTTTGCTACATGGATTGCATCTCACCTTCTTTGGAGGAAAAATAAATCCCTGAGAAAATTGGGAGGATTAAAATTGATTTGTAACCCTCAATTTTGCCTAAATATCTTTCATCACTTGTGACAATTTAAGCAACAGAGGGGATTAATTTCAAGGCTCCCTTATTTGAGACAAGCAGAGACACGCTACTGGTGACTCGTTGAGGGCTCATGGTAACATTTATATGGTCAGGATGAGCTGCTTCAGGATGCCAGCAAATCAAAACAGCCCCTTTCACTTAGTGCAGCTCTTGTTCAGAGTTTTGCTGAAGTGTAAACAATAACAGCCTCGTGAAGTTGGTGTTTTTCCTGACACACATTGGGATGTGAAGGTTGCTAGGACGGTAAGCGCATTGTGTCAGTTATGTTCCAGCCTTGGAATATCTCCAAAGCAATACATGCTGGATTGAAATCATGCTTTGTTCTCTGGCTTGAAAGGTGATTGATGATAAATCTATTAAACAAACAAACAAAAAACACTTTAAAGAGCAAAATAATCTGTAAAAGTTGATGCAACTCAGAAATGTTAAATACTTTTGTTTGTTCTGGAGTGGCTCTAAAGACACACATTCATCCTAGCTTGAAAAACTCTCATATAACTCGCATATGGCTCAGCATTGTGCCTTCAGGAAGTAAATGCTAGTATAGACTATATCTGTACAACTGTATGGCAAAAATCCCATTCCGTGGCATAGGGTGATGATAAAATTGGCAGGGGGAAGAAATCCTGGGAAATGTTTGAGTTTAAACACCTCAATTTGGGAAGAGTGGAGGGGAAGAAATTTCCCCCATAGAGGACTTATTCTTAAACTGTTCCGTCTCATTTCTCCATGGGGATGAGTATAAGTTCCCCCAGTCCAGTTCATCTAACTTGAACAAGTCCTCCATGCAAAAACCAGGCACCCAACCTGAAGTGCTCATTTATTCAGGGATTTCATTATCAACGGGAGAACAGGAGGAAAGTGTTTAAGCACTTGAGCTTTGGCTCTCCCGGTGTTTTCAAGCCAGAGAACTTTGTTAGATTGGGAGTCCACTGCCGCTAAAAGCAAATCAGAGCGTATGATATTTATTTTCAATTTGATGACACATTGCAAAGAGGGAGAATGGCCCAGTGGTTAGAGCATTAGCCTGGGCGACCATCTTCAATACCTGGCTCCTCCACAGGCTTCCTGCATGACCTTGGACACAGCATTTAATCTCTCTGCGCCTCCATTCCCCATCTGCAAGCTGGGCAGAACAGCTCTTCCCTCCCTCACAGGGATATGTGTACATCGAAGATAGCAATGTGCTCGGATGCTGGGGTAAAGAGGACCGTATGAGTACCTAAGATAGGTAGACACTGCTATTCACACTGAATAGTATCTTATGCCTTGAGTTCATCAGTGACATTTCTTGTACACTACGGTGTTACACAACATGGGGCAAGGCCTCAAAACCTGTGTCTTTGGCTGAGAGGAAAGGAAGGGCAACAGAAAGGAATTTCTCCAGTCCCTTTCAGTGCCCTCTTTTGACTGGAATGGTCAAGTGCTGGCACGTTACTGGAAGGCCAGATCACCATCCCGGAATGTCTCTCCCATGCACTTGTTTACATTCCCGGTGTCCCATTTCACTCACCAATCCTGCATGCAAAAGAACAAACCTCCCTCTGTGTTTTCCAGCATTGGCCATCGGAGTGGGGGCTGGGGAATTGCGAGGAAACTGTTCCTTCAGGTAGATTGGTTTCGTAGGTCCAATTTCATCTTCAGTGCAACTCCAATGCCGGCCCTTCAGCAGAGGGACATTCTGCGGCAGGGAGCTCTCCATGCCTTGGGGGAAACAAACCTTTGCAGGTGGAGCACTTCTGGCAACAGAAGTCCTGTCCTCATGTTCAGCTGCCCTGGGGCAGAGTGAATTGGGCCCATTATTATTATCCCCAATAATTGAGTCCAATCTTGCTCCAAATGAAGTCAATGGGCAATTTGGGTTAATAGAAATTGGGTAGGAGGGCCACCAGGACAAATACAGGGCTGTGTGGTTTTTTTCTAGTTGATTATTCTAGGCCCAGGGCCAAGTCCCGTTTCTATGGAAGTCCATGGAAAGCTCCTATGGGATCAGGATTGAGCCTTTTGGTGTAATGCATGTACTAGTTGTGGGTTTCCTTATGTTTTACCCCAGAATGGAGTATGTCTTGGAGAGGTGGGGGGGATTCAGGGTGGGAGCTGTTTCTCATCTTAGCTGTAGATTGTGGTCAGTGTTAATGGCACTACTGTTCCATCCTGACCTAGAATATCCTGACCCCAGCCTCCTTTAGGAAGGAGGAGGGAAACCTTTACTAATGTCCTAGTGTTAACTGACAAGGAATGTCCTGGTGTGAGGTTTCTCTAAGGGTAGGAGGTGGAGAAGCTTCCTGAGGGAGGGTAGGAGGTAGGTTTTGCTGGCATCTTTGTGTGAGAATGTCCTTCACAGGGGTTTCTAGGTACAGAGGTCTTTATAAATAGCCCCACTGGCAGGGAATGTCCTAACCTTGGGACAACTTGAGAAAAGGTTGAGAACTTCATCAACAACATGGTTTTAGCAGATTGGGATTATTATCCTAACCTTGGTTTACCTTTAGGAGGGGAAAGGAGAGTCACGTTCATAGCTTGGTGTTAGCTGGCAGAAGGAATGCCCTGATCTAGCTAATCTCAGAGGGAGCCGCATTAACCCGATAGCTCTCTTCAATTGCCTTTCCCTACTTTTTTTTGCCCCCTCACCAGATTTAAATTGGGTCTGCAGCTCAAGCCCTGGACCCCAGCCATGTGCATGTATAGAGCTCACCTTACAAGGGTGGGATTTGCACCTGCCTTCAATGTATAACTCTCCCTGCTTGTATGGGGGGCTTCTCTTGGGCTGGAGAGTGATGTATGCAGGAGCATAGGGGGAGCCATTGGAGGCAGCCTTAGCCTTGGGAGAGCTCCACTGAAAAGCAGGAAGGTGTTTGGAAGTGATTTGCCCCTGTTTTCTCACATTCTGTATTTATCCTTCAGTTGGCAGAGACGGTCTCTATGGTGCGCTGAGAAGCCAGAAGACCTATACGTGGTAAAGCAACAAAGATCTAGGCTCCCCCTGGGGCTGACAAACCCAAGCCCATCTTCTGGTTGCTTCCCTGCAACACACCCCGGTTCACTGCTACTAAAAAAAAGAGGGCACTTCCGTCAAGGAGTGTGTTTCGCCTCGGCCCAAGTACAAGTTGGACCGCGGGTCTCCGGACAGCATGGTGGTGCAGAATAAGCTGGACACGGGGGACCCCAGGAAAGCTGTCCTTTTGGAGCCATTCATCCATCAGGTTGGGGGCCACATGAGCATGATGAAATATGATGAGCACACCGTCTGCAAGCCCCTCATCTCCCAGGAGCAGTGGTTCTATGAGTCGCTCCCCACACCCATTAAGCAGTTCACGCCTCAGTACAAAGGTAAGGAGGAGCTGGATGATCCAGGAGAGAACTGCAGGGGCAGGGGAGGGAGAGTTTACTAATGGTAGCCATGATCAGAAGAGAAGATGTTAGCTACCCATAATTTCATTGATCCTTTCCTTCCCTTAATGAGACAAAGGGCCCGATTCTCTTCTGGCTCATTGGGTTTAATGCCATTGGCTTCCATGAAGTCATTCCTCATTTACCCCGGTATAAGAGGAGATTCTGGGCCAGTCAACATACTTCCAAAATATGGTCCAAGCCCTGAGCGCCTTTACTTCACTTTTACTCATGCAAACTCCCATTTGTTTCAGTGTTTTGCCTGAGTAAAGATGTCAGGATTTGGCTGTATGACTCCAGGACCCGCAAATGTAACTGATTTTTTTCACCTTTATTTTAAGCTTCCTGGTTTTGCAAAATTGAGCTGAGAAACTCACATCAGGTTCCATCTATTGAGTTCCCTGGTACTTGCTGTTTCCAGTGGGGCTGAAAATAATGCGAGAACATCCTTTCTTGTTGTATTTTGACTCTTAGCCCCCACTGGAAGCAAGTAGTGCATTACATGGGGAAAAAATTAAATGCTATCTTAACATCTTACATCTTCAAAAAGGCTGTTTCTCTTGTCCTTCAATTGTAATGGAGTCATTGAGGATGAGCAAATTGGGGGCAGGGGGAGAGAGAGAGATTGAGAATGTGTGAGTAAAGGAGGTCTGCTCTTTGGAATCTCCAACACTTCGTAGACTTTCTCAACATTCTTAGCAATACTGAATGGTTCTTATACACACTCGCTTTCAATCTTGTGATCACTGTACAGAAAGTTGTGTGGATAACTAAGATCAGCCTTTTTATCTTAGCTTCTAAAAACTAGCAGACCATCTCTGATGTCAGGATTGGGCGTCTTTCTAACAAAGAATGCGCCTGCTCCACCATCTAGCATTGGGCTAGATGCTGGAATCACTGCATGGCCTGTCTTATGCAGGAAGTCAGACTAGTTGCTCATGATGGTCCCTTCTGAATCTATGAACCAGTGAATTTTAACAAGAGGAGTAAGTGATAAAGTCCTTGCTGAATTCCAGGTAGGATTCCTCCAGATAACGGGGTTTGGCTGGACTCTCTAGCGGTTAGTGCTTCTCACTCAACAGAAATGTGAATTCTGGCCAAGTGCCCCCTTTTGGAGCTTGGGTGTTTGAGCTAGTGAGTCATTGGGAGCTCTCCCAAGGTTAACTGTTTGTGCAAAGAGTGAGAGATGTAGCGCTTAAGTCAATGTAGTTAGATCAACGCCGTGTCAGTGTAGACACTGCGTTGCTTTCATTCACGGTTGCTGCCTTTCAGACACTGCCCCACAATGCCCCACACTAGCAGTGAAATCGGTGCAAGTGCTCCTGGTGAGGACACGCACCGCCGACACAAAGAGCTTAGTGTGGTTGTGTGAAACCAATTCAATTACTGCCGTGGCTGTACATCAACGTAACTTATGTTGGCTTAATGTTGTCATGTAGATTTCCCTTTTCTGTGTGGAGACTTTACACCTGTTTAAAGTAGGCTGATGTAGGTGAATTAAGAGGTGCAAGCAAGGCGGATGTGAGCTAGGTTTAAACTGATATAAGGGTGTCCACACACAAAGTTGCTCCAGTTTAACTACATGGGTGCAGCCTCACACTTTTAGTTAAACAGGTCTGCGCTACGGGTAGACCAGGCCCAGGAAGAGCAGCTTGAGGGATAACAAGCGCTTGTGGCAGGTGTCATGCTGTGAGCTTCAGCCCACGCGACAGTCAGGATTCTGGGCCAAGGTCAGCGAAGTGGCAGCAGTCTAGCCGGGAGGAGGGTGAGGCTGCTGAATTACCATCCAAGAAGAGGTGGAGGAGTAGGCAGTGCAAGAGGAGGGGAGGGCTCATGATCTTTTCCGAAGAGACAGGAAAAGGAAAAGGGGACGAGAGGGAACCCCGTTTGCACGTGGCGGTGACGAGAGCATCCAGACATCCCTGTTTCATGTGCGGAGCCTTTTCCCACCTGACGCGGCCAATCTGCTTTGGTAACACGAGACAGTGTCACCGCGAGCCTGGTGTCATGTTAGCGCTCGAGTGCCATCTGCATAGCTGAGATGCCAGTGACCAGCCTGGGAGAAACCGTCCTCCTCGCTGGGCATCGCTGTCAGCCAGCGGAGCAAACGGCTGCCTCTGCGACAGCAGCAAACAGTCGTTCGACTAGGAAGTTTCCTCCTCAAGATTTTCTCCTGGAGGGTTTTATTTTGGCCGCAGCAAGAGCGATGGAAACCTAGGCTTGGCGCCTGGGTACCTGCAGCCAGCAGGCGCTTCCTGACAGGAGGCCCAACAGTGAGGACTCGGAGCCTGGGGAGGGAAATGGGGTGGGGAGGGTGCATCATGCCACTGGGCCTGCTGTAGAGGAAGGATTATTACTATCCCTGAACTTCTGTCTCTTGCTGTAACAAGCTCGTATGGTGCTCCCAAATATCTGCCTGCTGCCGGCTAACTGAGCTAAGCGCACACCTGTGCCAAGCATGCACAGCAGCTGAATTGTCACTGATTATATGTCAGCAGCATGAGTCACATGCCTGTTGCTTTATTGCCAGTAGCTCGGGAAGGGGGTTTTTTGGTGTACTGGAGAAAGGGGCCTGATCTGGCTGCCCCGACTCAGTCCACACCCCTACCCAACAGCCATACCCACCCAGCTGATAATTTCTCCATACACACTGCACACGTCCCTTATAATTTCTCTTCTAACTCAGTACACATTACATAGGCCTTATCACGTCTCCCCTAACTTAATACACATGGACCCGTACACACACACACACACACACTCACTCTCCATCGGCTTTCATTGTGTGATCTGAGGGCGCTGAAGCCTCAACAACTTTCAAAGTGAGCCAAATGAAATGGAAGCTCATTCATTCCTTTCCTAGGGTCCAGTACTGTGTGTTTTGCCTGAGTAAGACTAGCAAGTTCTGATCCCCTAGTTAGCAGAAAATGAGAGAAATATATGTAGAAGCTGGAGACCTCCAAGCTAAATGGTGCTCTGTACGACTGTTTATCCAACAAGATATAGCGGAGGCCAGGGAAAAATAATACATTGCATTTCTATAATGACTTTTGTCCTGAAAGATTTCAAAGCACAGAGAACCAGTGAGATGCAGCTATCTCTGGGGAGGAGCTGTCAACCAGGTGGATGGGACAGCCTGTAACACAACAGTTTCCCCGCTGAGAGGATGCCTTTTGTTTCTTTGTGGATGTAAGCCCTTGAAATAGACTTCTCTTTATATAGAGGGAGCATTTAATTATCCCTCATTAGGAAATGACTGAGGCTGGCCTGTAAGCTGTCATTCCCTCACTCAGCAATAACCTGACCTTTTGTTAATGAGACTCCGCCGCGGGTTGTAGTGTAGAACTAGCCCAGTGCCCCTGGGACAATGAGGTGATTTGTGGCTGTCGGCCCCAGCAGCCTGGCCAGACTCTCACCGATAAAGGAAGTGTTCATTTTTTTTAAGGCTACTTTGGAATAATCGTCTCCGTTAAATTCCTGCATGCTGGCATCTATTAACCCTTTCAGTGTGAGTCGGGATATGTGACCTGATCTTGCTAAGAGACACAGCTCAGGGCTGCCCTAAGCTATGCTGGTTTGTTGCAACCCCCTAAAGGTCTTTATATATGTAGGGATTGCTGGAGTACTATATGTTCTGGCCATGCCCTCTCCTGATCTAATACACCCCTCTGCTCGGGGAAGGGTGGACGGAAAGAGACAAGGCTTGCACAGAGTTCGCTGTACAACAGGTGAGGGTTCCCCCATGCCTGATCTTCAGAGGTGACAAGTAATTGTAGCACCAGTTGAAGTCAATGGAGACTGTGGGTTTCCAGCATCTCTGAAAATCAGACTCAGTATTTCCATTAGCTAGAAAAAGATCATTAAAACAAAATTAGATTAGCCTTGAAAAAACATGGTTTAAATTAGCTTTGTAAAACCAAAGCATAATAGTGAGATTTGGAAAACTTCCACAAGGTTTACCTGTTCCTGCCTATCCCTTATCACCATTGTTGCTGAGTGACTTCCAATCAATAACAGATTTCGTCCTTTGCCTGTGAGGGAGGGGAGTGTACCATCTCCCTTTTACACATGGGGAACTGAGGCACAGAGAGACATAGTGATTTGCCTGAAGTTGCACAGGGAGTCTGTAGCAGAGCCAGCAATCAAACCCAGATCTCACACTCCACAGACTTTATCACCTTCCTACTATCAGTCCTTTAGCCCTCTTCCTGACTGGGCCATTGGTGACCTTCACAGAAGACTATGAAAACCTTAGGCCAGATCCTTTGCTGGTGGAAATCAGCATAGCTCTATTGAAGTCAATGGAGCCTCATTGATTTCCACCAGCTGAGGATCTGGCCCTTATCTCCAGCACTTGTTGACTGGATGTCGGTGACCAGCAGCTGAGGTTTGACATTGATGGAACGAGAAATCGGAGCAGGAATAGACTAAACTTTTAACATACTCAAGTCTCCACACTCTCCAGTCCCTACTCTCCTGGGATCCATTGTCAGGGTCTCTAGATAACCAGACAAATAATACCAGCTATCTTCTAACAAACAAATCAGCTGCTTTCTGAGGTCAGAAATGACCCCTCTCTGCCTTCCAAATAAGCAACAAACTCTTTCTGTGCACAACATCCACCATAATACACCGTCCGTGCAATTTCAACATTCACCGAAGTGCCCCGTGGTCTGAACTGCTTTATGAGTTGACTCTCATTACTTTGCAGTTTAAAGGGATAGACTGTGTTCGGCGTAAGTCCAAATGTTCTATAAAATCTAATTTTAACCCACCATTGCATGATTTTTTAAATTACTTTTTCCTCCCCTAATTTTTCCAGCGATGCCAATTCTCACTATGGTATTGTGTCCCATGAAACTTAGTGTTTTTCTGAAAGCCCCAACTCCTGGAATCCTGTGATTAGGTGAGAAACTCAACTTTTTTTTTTTTTTTAAGAA